AATGATTCTATGATTCTATGATTCTAGTGAATAAGCTCTAGAAAAAAATCTCAACCTCTTTACTGACAACTTCATAAACTAGTGTTTGTAACTTACGTGTGTACTCCCAAAAACCTGTCCTGTCTGTTTCAGGAACTTCTGCCAGCTCCTCTTTTACTTTTAAAGCTTTTGTAGCTGTACGTTTCAAAATCTTTTCTCTGTTTGGACTAGGTATCTGTCTATGCTGTACCGCAGCATCTAAACCAAGTTGGGTATGCCCTAAACACAGCAGTGAAACTTGTGGAATTTTATGAAAAATACTTTTCAATAGACTACCCTCTTGAAAAATTAGGTAAGTTCTTTTGAACTTTTTTTTTAAACAGAAGAAGAAGCCCTAATCATTTCTGAGAAATGCAGGGGAACTTTCATTCTGAAGAGGTGTACTTAAAAAACAAACCAAAAAATATAGCATAAAACATCTGTGAAATAAGGTTCCTCCAAAATAATGAAAAAAATCCATTAAATGCTTGACTGAGTGCAACTATTAAGTGATTCCCAAGCTGGAAAATTTTTGTGAGCTTTTGACGCTGGATTGCTTATACTTGTACATAACATCAAAGAAATAATTCAGTGTAAATTTAACATGATGTGCCTTGGTAGGGAGATACAGAATTCTCAGTCTGTGAACCATGTTCACCAGTGCAAAATCTGCAACATCTGCATGTATTAGTTTGACTGGAAAGATAACAAAATGCAGTCTTCTAAGGCAGTTTGAGTAAGGGGAGCCCCACTGCCTTGTTACTTGTGTGCATGCCAGATCTATAGGCAGTGTCTGTGTAGTGCTTTAAGTTGTTTGTGTAAGAGTACTGCTAGAGAAACATGGCTATAAACCTATGGGGCTTCTGTGCTTGAGATGTGAGCATATGTCCACACCACAGGATTTAAATGATGATGTTTTTAGAGATTGTGTAATAGAATAGGTAGACTTGAAATACAGAACTGCTTTAACTAGCAGTTTTCAAATCTTCTTTCAAATCTTTTCCAGATTTGGTAGCAATTCCTGATTTTCAGTCCGGTGCAATGGAAAACTGGGGCTTGATCACCTTCCGAGAAACAACACTCTTGTTTGACAGTAATACTTCTTCAGCAAGGGATAAAAAGTTAATAACTACAGTGATAGCACATGAGCTTGCCCATCAGGTACTAGATTGGGGAGGTCATTGTTTAAATGTGGCGGGTTCTTTCTTTTTTTTTTTTTTCCCTAAATGCAGTTCTGTCCTTAAATTCACCCCTGCCTTCACTGTGACTCGATTATGCATTGCATCTGTTCAGAATACCTGCAGGTGTATTTTCTCCAGTACAATAGGAAGAGTGCAACCCTGTCATGACGTACTTAGGGAGTTGTTCATGCAAAAGCATTGCCATGGATTTGACAGAACTTGATTTTGCCACAAGATAAAGCTGAGGGCAGTTCTGTCCTTAAATTCACCCCTGCCTTCACTGTGACTCGATTATGCATTGCATCTGTTCAGAATACCTGCAGGTGTATTTTCTCCAGTACAATAGGAAGAGTGCAACCCTGTCATGACGTACTTAGGGAGTTGTTCATGCAAAAGCATTGCCATGGATTTGACAGAACTTGATTTTGCCACAAGATAAAGCTGAGGATGAATGGAGTGTTACTGTACTCATTTGATTTTATTTCTGAAAAAGAATGATGATTTTGGTCTTTCATAGTGGTTTGGCAATCTGGTAACGATGGAATGGTGGAATGATCTCTGGCTGAATGAAGGATTTGCTACTTTCATGGAGTACTTTGCCATGGAGGAGGTTTTTCCAGAATTACATTCAGTAAGTACTTTCTGTAACTACATGTACTGTACCTTTGCTAAGAATCTTTTTTTAATGCTACCCATAAAGGACCGATACTTATAAACTTATATTGAAATTCACTTTGGACACCATTGAGACTATACTATATCTCCTCTGCTTTGGCACTTTCATTATATTGGAAGTGGTTTTGGTGGGGCTTTGGGGAGGGTACATTGTTTTTGTGGGGGTTTTTATTTTTTTATTTTAGTAATTGTCTGCATACAGTCTTTGTGTTTTGTGTAGGTTAAAGCATTCTGTGCAAAATAGCAGGTGTTAAAAGCTGTAGGTGTCTATATATCAAATTATAACTTAAAATACAGGAAGTCCAGGGATGTTGTTGACCAAGTTCATCTGCCTCTACTTTCCCTAGTAGACTTAGGAAGAACCAGAGCTTTAGGTAACTAAATATGCCTGGAGTAACTCCTATCTTTCCATCATTATGGTACTTACTTGTGTCTGGATCAGTTTGGGATTCACAAATCAGTGGACCTGGTATAAAAGTATGGTATGGTCCCACCTAATGGATTCTGATATCATTGAGTTACTAATAGTACAAAGCACTGCTCCCACAGGCACCTCTGTTTACACATATGGCTGAAGGATAGGATCTTATTGATGTAATAACCTAGTGACCATGTATTAAGTGACCTAGCTTTTCAGATTCTGCAAAACATGAAGAATTCAGACTTGACCTTTCCTCTCCAAGGAAGGGATACCAGCTACTGCTATTAAGCATCCCTGTCACTGAATGCAGGTGGAGAAACAAAGACTAGTGGGACTGAATGGAGGGGGCAGTGGAGAGACTAATTTTGCATCCTGAGTAAAGATTTCTCCTAGAAGAGGAGATACCTTGGCTCTGGAACCACCTTCCAGGAGTGTTTATGTGATATGCCTTAGTCACATGATTAAAAACCTGATGCGTACTGACTGTTTCCTACTTGCTGGATTGTGTTCTTCTCAGCATCCTAAGTGACTGTGAGTTTTGAGTTCTTAATTCACCCTTGTTAGTGCATTAAGAAACTTGGGTCGCTACCTTGGTTCAGTAGAATTATTTCTTAGAGCTGGGTGTTTAGGACAAATACCAGTATAACCAGCTTCTTTTCAGTGTTTGGGGTTGTCTTGTTCTGATAACAATGTATTAGATTCAAATATCTTCATTCTAGAAGAAAGAAGGAAGAGAATTTGTTGCTAGGATCACTAGATGAGATGGTGTTTACATTCACACAGGTGTCACTGTAGTGAGTAATTTCCCTAGACTTCATGCTTTAATATTAAAACATACTAAAGAAGTCATGCTTTTGTATTCCCTTCTTCCTGTAAATGAACTGAAAACATAGGTGAGGCAAATCTGAAATTTGGCACATACTTAACTTAGTAGGTACATTTATTTTCTCTAGTGCCAATGATGCATTTACCCAAGACAGGAGGTTAAGGGCCTGGATAATGATGCAAACTGAAGAGTGAGATTCCACTGCTAAAATGTGGCAGGGAAAGAGAAGAATTTTAAAACGCTATAGATTTTACAAATGCTTCCCTAACAATTCTTTTGCTGCCGCCATTGACAGGAAGGTGAGCAATGGCATCATAGACCAGTGGAAGAGCAAAGCAGAAACAACTTTTACCGTTCTGCTTACCATGTATGTTCTAGCTTCTCAGATGCTTATAAATGTTTCTCTTCTAGGATGAAGATTTCCTTAATTTAATTTTCAAGGCTATGATGAAAGATTCCTTGAATTCTTCACATCCAGTCTCTTCAGCTGTTCAATCTTCAGAGCAAATTGAAGAAATGTTTGATGCACTTTCTTACATCAAGGTAACTTGAAAAATACTTGGAAATACTTGGAAAGTGATATATTGACTATTGAAAACATGCATGTAGAATCATGAGTAAGTAGCACGAACTGACAATTGTTTGGGGGTAATTTACACCTGGCACAAACAATGCAGGATCTCTCAGTAGTGTTTCTGAGTGTCTGCATAGGTTTTAATCAGGAAAATATTATGTATGTGTGTTTGTCTCCTTAGTTAACATCCTTCTGCTTGGTGCATGCTTCAGCACAAAGTGAAATACTCATGAAGGTGTAAGAGGGGACCCAATAGGTGAAATAAAATATCCAGTTAGACATATATTCTTTTTCTGATAGCAGACTGTAACAAGTGCTTAAGGGTAACAACAAGGCACTTTTTGGAGCAATTGCTCCTTTTTGTACTCTCTCTGCTTTTAAAAAACAGTATTTTAGAGACTTCCTGAGCTGGAGGCTTGCATCTGAAATGTAAAATTATTTCACTGCATATCCTGGTTGTCTGTAACTTGATTATTTCTAATGTCTAGTGAGGGTTGTGTGTGAAGTTTATGTTTTTAAAGCTCCACAGTGCCTCACTTGAAAATGCATGAAAGCGCAAATTTCTGTATTTGCCAAATTTTTACTCACTTTGTCTCAGGCTTTAGATAGTCTGTCCCATGATTTTGAATGTATTGGAGGAAAGCCTTTTGTATCTTTTGGATTAGCTGTCATTTTTTTCCACCTACTTTCCCCATGCAAGTCTGTGTATGCTTGTACTTTCATCTAGTTAGAAACCATGGGGACAGCTAGTGCTCACTAGAAAGCAGTCAAATACTACATCTTCCTCTGCTCAATGGAATGCAGTTCCCACAGCTGTCTTGGTTTATCTCCTCTGATTTCTTTTTGCAAGTCTCAGCTGGTCAACAGGTATTGTCTGGCATCCTTGAGCAGTTGGAGATGCCAAATGGACCTACAATAGTGATGTGCTTCTGTTTATTTTGGTCTCTGTTTTCTGAACTACAAGAACAGAGATGTGTGATTTTTCTGTTTCCCTTGTTGTGAAATGGATTTGATTTCTCTCTCTAAGGTGTATATCAAAAGGCATGGCTGTTGTTTCATGCTTCACTGTTGATGTCTCAAGTAATTCCCTTTTTGGTGAGCTTCTAGAAGCTATGCATCATGCACAATCATGTCTGTAGCCAGGTAACTCCAGAGATAACAGTTCCGTCACTCTTTGCCTGGTCAAAACGCCTTTATATAATTTTAACAGAAATATTCCACAAGTGATTGGGCTGGAGTTTCAGTCAATTAGTAAAGTTTTATATTTGGAGAATTACTTTATTGCTACTAGTAAGTATGTGCACCTTCTAAGTAGAAGTATAACAGCCTACACCTCTGAGTTTAGGAGCTAACCAAAAGAAGTTTTGGCCTTGCATTGCCAGAAACAGGTTTTTCATGGCTGCTTTCTATGTTTCAGAGGCTTTAATTGCATAGCTCTTCATTCATGCATGTAGTCTTTGTATTCCACTACTCTTGGCCCTATATCTTAACTAATGGTCTTGGCAATTTCAGTGGGAAGACACTTGCAACATGATCCTGAATTATCTACAGGTGGTCTGTTATTGAATTGTACAACTTTCTTTAGTTTACTGTACTACCAACTGACAAAGATTAGTAGGTGACCTCTACATTTTACCATCTGGAATAGGAATTATTGTGCAAAATTATTTTTAGCCTGGTTGTTTTGCAGACTATCCGTAAACCTAACACTCAAGAGTGGGACAACAGTCCATCTGCCACAACAGAGTGTTTGGGAGGATATGACAATAAAAAAAACAAAGTAGTAGAGCTATAGCTCGAGTATGGATGCATGCAAGAGAGGAAATTATGACCATATTATTAAAAACTATAGTAAGGGTATTCCTGCAGTTTCATGAATAATTAGATTAACCAGGCAGCCTTCAGTTTCAGGCAAGATGTTACTTAAATTCCAAAACTTGAATTTGAAATGTGTAAGAACCATGCATGCTCTCATTAAAATCTTCCTTTTAATATTTCTTAATCCTTTCTCAGAAAGAGTACCAAAAATAGAAAGTGCACCTTTAAACTTTTCATGATCTGTGGATGCTCCTCTGCATTCAGTTGTACAGTATGCAAGTCCTCAGGCAATTTATTTATTACTGGCTGTGACGTAGAAGCATTTCTATGGAAAGAAAATGGCTTTCAGCTATGTTTAAAAAGAAGGAAAACCAACACCATTCTGTCTGCACACTCGTGTCCGCTTTGATACTAGAACTACTCAGTTACTTTTTTTTTAACAAAACATGGCTGAATTTAAACACTGTCAAAATGCACTTGTCCTTCTACAGTCAGTTCCAGCCTACTAAGTGAATCTCATCTTTTTCCTGTATTTTTAGTTTTTTAATGCAACTGCGAATCATATGGCTGTTGAACGCTGACTCACAAATGTGGTTCTGTACCATACAGAAGAGGATTGCTAATGAAATATGGCAGCCAGGAGAGACTTATCACTAAGAAGGCAGTATTTTTGACATCAAGTCAATTGGAAAAAAATGTCAAGCCTTATTAGCCTGTTTTGTAACTGCATTTTGAGCCTTTAAAATTTATTTTTTTTTTTCCCCAAAGCAGCTAGGAAAATATTTCAAGCTGTATTAGCCTTTTTGGTAACTGTATTTGAAGTTCATAAAATATTTAAAAGTTATTTTTCCAAGGAAACTGGATGTTAAGATAATTATTCAAATGATATTGTTTGGGATAAAATCTGCCGGCTTCTGAGTTATTCTTGTGCTGTGAAACAGCTATAATGTACATAGGCTTCAACAAGTTCTAGAAATTTAATTTACCAACTGCTTTTCTTTTTTTCTCCCTAAAGGGGGCTTCACTTCTTTTGATGCTGAAACACTATCTCACTAAGGATGTTTTCCAAGCTGGCATTGAGGTTTACTTGCATAATCACAACTATGGATCTGCCCAGAGTGATGACTTGTGGGACAGCATGAATGAGGTATCCATCTTTGATATACTGTTCTTGTTTTTTCACTTCTTTCTGTTGTAAATTTTGATTTATTTCTTGATTTAAGAAAGAAATAAGATAATACACTGCAGATAAATACTCTGAAGTTCTTGCTCGTTGTAGTCCCAGGTTCTGTCATGTAGATACGGAGATTCCTGTAGCTTCTAGGACTCCTTTGAGTATCATCGCAAAAAAGCACTGGAAGTGGGTCTGCACTATGATGCGTGTCCACCTGTGTGGACACATCAGTATGTACATATCCTCTCCAGAGTTGCATTGTTAGTGTGTTGAGACCACAATAAAAATAGTCATCTTAAGCACAGGAAAAAACTTTACTTTCAGGGAATAGAGGTCTTGCAATACTCTCTACTAATAGAACTTTGTTTCAGGATAGCTTCTGTTTCAACAAGCAGTACTGGAATTGTAGGAGAACAGATTGTAGGGGACAGTTTAGTTCAGCAGCTCTCAAATGGTAGGGGCAGGCATAAGGCTGTGTCTTATTAAATTGGGTGTGGGGGGAAAGCGCAAGGGCACAAGAAAGCAAGGGCATGGGCAGGAGAGCAAGGACAGGAGTCGGCAAGCTGGTGGGAGCTGAGGAGGGCAAGGGTGAGAGGGTGCATGTGAAGGAGGGGGGAGAAATGGCAGGAGGGACAGAGGGAGGGAGAGAGACCGAGGAAGCGTTGGGGGCAGAAGAGTGGAAGGGAGAAAGCGCATGATGGGGAGAGAGTGGGAGGGAGAGTGCAAGGAAGAGGGACTGTGTGAGAGGGAGAGTGTGTGTGCAAGAGAGAGTGAGCGTGCAAGAGAGAGAGTGATCCCAACAAGAAAGAGCTGCTGAGTATCCCCAGGGAGTGTCAAGGCAGTTGTATAAGGAAGTGAACAGATTTCCCTTAAGTGTGTGTACTGCATAGTATGTATTAAAGTCTCTGAAATACATGTGAAGTTCCCTCACAGAAGCTGAGTACTAGCAGGATACTAACTTGATATTGTTTTGGTTCCTGACATCTTCCTTATGATATTTGAGCTTCTGCAGAACTGAAGCCACTGTCAGTTATTGTCAGCTGTCACAGAGGGCTCTAAGTTTGTGTGTTTAGTCATACACAGTCACTAGTTTGCCAGCTAGTGATGGATTATTACTGATATCAGGCTGTGACTCTCTTATGGCAGAGAACTCTTCTGGTTTGTATAGTGATTTTTGTAGTGCAAAATAGACTTTCTTCTCCTCAGCCTCTGCAAAATGGAGCCTCCTGATCAGCCATCTTCAGTTACGCACATGTAGAGAACATACCATAGGGAGATGGTAGTATCCATGTAGAGTGGCTAAGGGAGACCACACAGATGCCTCATTTAATTAATGTGAGGGCTTAACTGTTACTAGATGCAGGGTTTAAATGTTACTAGAGCATGGGAAAAGAGTCGTTCTTGAAACTAGATTACTTGCTTAGTCTGAGTACCTGGCCCAGAAAAGAATTTTTTAAAATTATAATCCTACTGTTTGTCCATGGGGCCAGTTCAACTTTTCTGCAAACTCAGCAGACCTCTTTCTCTTTTGGAACATCAGTCATCATCTTTTAAGAGTGAAAACTAATTGTTACCAAGTCAAAAGTAGTTGCTTCACCCACCTGTAATAATATTAAGTGAATCGCATCCAAGCAACTTAGTAACATCTAATGTCAGAACTCAGTGTGTATTTCCTATTTTAATGAGAAACAACCCTTTGTATTTGGTGCTAATTTAATAGTTACCAAATTTGTACTGACACTAGGTATTTAACAGCATTGGTTAACATGTTGATTTAACATGTTTTGGTTTAACATTGGTTTAACGTGTTGGTTAACAGTCAAATCTAGACAGGCTGCATCTGTGATTACTTTCTCTGCCCTTGGTAATGGAACTTCCATTCTAGGAACTTGATGGGAAGTCTTTGCTCAATAATATTTTCCCCCAATAAGTGTCTGAATAATTAAAACTATATTAACAAGATAAATCTGAGGAGCTCACACAAAATATTGTGTACCTTTCTGATCTTTGAGTTCACTGATAACTTTCTTAGTGCCCTTGGACTCTAGTCAGTGCTCAGATCTGCCAGAAGTTTCTTTCGAAGTTTTATCTTTATAATACAAGAGGCCTGGACCTCTGTCCAGACCTGTCTGGACTTCTTAATTCTTCTCTGGTTTTGATGTAAACTATTTCACTGAGTCTCCCTTCCAACAATTAAATTGTTAGTATTATCCTGTATTGAGATGTTTGATATCCTTTTTGGTTGTTTCCTATATCTATGATATTCAGCAAATTGACTGGCTCTTTTTCCTTTTGCTCCTATTGATTAAGGCTAGGCTGAAGGAGTTTGAAAATTCCAACCATAAGAGTGGCCTTTTCTTCGATCATAAATTTTTGCTGTCCACACAGCAAAACGCACAGTCATTTCTTAAGTCTTAACCTTCTCTGTGGAAATCAACAATAGTAGTTGGAGTGAAGATGAGAAAACTGCATGTGAATTAAAAGAAAAATCTGTAACACTGCAAGCAAACTTTTTGTATACCTTGCCTAGAGGAAGAAGGATGAAGTCATTTTCATGTGTTGCTTTCATTGCAGTTAGGAGCAGCTGTTCAAAGAAGATATGTCAATAAAATCAATTAATGTCAGTAAAATTTTTCCTATGATGAAACTATGAGCCTATAATTTCTAATAAATTGTTTTATTTTCAGGTGACTGGGGAGGGTTCTATTTTGGAATACAATTATATCAGTGCAGCAAATTTCAAATTTACTCATATCCCTGTACAGACTAGACACAATCTTTCTGGCAGTCTTTAGGTAGCTCACAATGTTAGCACAGAAAGATTGAGAAGCAAAACAGGCAAGTTGACAAGCTGCAAGTATTAGACTTAATTAGTTTCCTGATCTCCTAACATTCCTCTCATCTTGGGTTTGGGGTTTTTTGTTTTGTTTTTTTCTTTGGCTGACTGGCATTGATCCTATAGATATCTTGGTGGTTTCAAAGTGTAACAGGAAGGAAAGGAAAAGATAGTGGCAAAAGAAAGTGATAGCATGCATTCAGCACATCTTGAGCAATTTATGAAGGGATTGCATAATGTAACATTGTAGTAAACATGATAGCATGTGATGACAAGACGGAGGAAGAGGAATTTAGCCAAGAGTGGGTTTGGGGAATATGTAAAAAGTAAAAAAAAAATGTAGATTTCAAATTCTATAGATATTAAATTTTTGATAGAGAATTACTTCCCTGGAATTGAAACCCCTGTGGTCATTCTCTACATGACTAATACAGTATTTCCCATGAGGGTAAACTATACATGTTGTTGTTGGCTTTAACAGAGAACAGTGGGCAGTAAGATGCTGATGAAGTAGAGAAAGATACAGTCAGGTTGGTAAAAGTTAAATGTAACTTGAATAATGATATATTAATTTCCTGATGTTCCTGATTGCTCAACCTAAAATGTATTTTCATAAGTTAGGGGATGTATTGTCTTTTTCAGTTTGGTTGATCGTATCTGCTAATAAAGAAGCAGTGACATGTAGACATTATAAAGCACATGTCCCTCACTGGGAGCGTTGTAGTACAAACAGTTCCTGAAAGGTTAGAAGAGGTTGAAGGTTAAGCTATGCAAAGGCTGGTAAGTGGGAGGAAAAACAAAAGAGAGATAAAGGATATGTTGGTTTTGTTGTACAAACACTGTTGCTTTAATTAAATTTCTAATATTAATTTCAGAATTAAAAGAAGATCTTTAACCTGAAACACTCCCATAATATCAGAATACTAATAAGGAAAGAGAAAGGGTAGGAGGGAGCTTGGGAGCTTACCAAAACTTTCTTTTCTGTAACATTCTGTTCTCCACTTTCATGATATACCAGTTCAACCTACCTAATATTTCCAATTTGTCTTTCTACTGCTTGGCTAGTATTCCCTCAACTTAAGAAAATAAAAACCACCTGCTCCCCTAAATTGTTGCTTACAAAATTTACAAGCTCAGTGTCAAAGTGATTGTTTACGGATGCAGAATCATGCTACTACTTACTTGGTAAGTTTAAGGTAAGGAAGAAAGTTTAACAATGTTCTCCATTTGCTATTTCCTTGTTATGTTATGATTGTTTTTTACAGATTACCAATGGAACACTAGATGTAAAAAAGTTGATGAAAACTTGGATTATGCATAAAGGATTTCCTTTGGTCACTGTTGTGCGAAAGGGAAAGATTATTTCTGTACAACAAGAGAAATTTTTGTATCACGTGGAACCAGAAAACTGGACATCAGATGCAAGGTTATTACCTTCTTCATACTTTTTGTCCATTAAAATCTGCTTGCAGATATCTTTCTTGTATGTCTTTCTCACTTGTATTCAGGAGTTCTAGTATTTTCTTTGAAGGCAGGTAGTAATAAAGAATTTGGCACAGAAATTCACACATATGATATCTGTCTGAAGAACCATGTCTGTTTCCACCCAAGCAACTCGTAAAAATTTGTGGCATCATTTGTAAGCTGAATTTCTTATTTACATCCTTTCCTTAAGCTTTTAAACTTGAGGTGTTGAGTTGTGGTAAATAGTAGAATGAATTCTTCAGTTTTTTTAATACCAAAAGGCAGATCTCCCAGGTAAAGTTTTCTTTTAATTTTAGGAAGTTTTGTGTAGTTAATCAGAAGCTAAAGAAAGGCAGGTTGCAGAAGTTTGCAGAAGTTAGATATGCTTACGTGTTTACTTTAGAGCCTCTGCTCCTTCCTGCCAAAATTCAGTGTACGTCTTGGGCTTTGTTAGAGAAAAGTAGAGAAGCTAGAATCAAAGCTTTCTTGGCTTAAAAATTTTAAGATGGCACTAATGCATGAGAGCAAATGACTGAACATATAAGAGAGGCAATATCCATTGTACCAAAACCTAAACGGATGTACATATGCAAATACTGAAGAAGCAAGGATGTGGCAGTTGCTAACTATAAAAATTAATTTACTGCAAATATGTCTTATATTATGAACATTACTGTATTTTGTAACAAAGCAAAATATGTATGTTTGAATCCTTTTGAGATTTTGGTGGTTTTAGTAAGACTTCAAACAACTGAATAAGAACTGAGTCATTTGCATCATCTTGCAGAATCAGGCTTGTGAAAGGAATTTCTCTTGAAATGCTGGAAGTTACAGGGCTTTGTTTTTTGTTATGTGGAGGAAGGAAAGTGATGTGTGGTTGAAAGGTAAGTGAAGAAGGGAAGGATTGTTAGGCTTAATTATTCTTCTGTTTCCAGACAGTGTCAATTTGGGGAGCGCATGAAAAGCTTTTGAAGAGCACTCTGTGTGAGTCATACACAGAATGGGTCCCTGTCAAAATTGGAATGTATATGTGCAACTTGTTTCATCTCACTCAAAGCTGTGTTTTCTCTAAATAGTCCTTATCATCATTATTGTCCACCTTAGCATTTATTCTTCCAGCTTGCAGTTCACTTGAGACAGTCTTTCTGGTATGTTCAACAAGGCCAAGTGCAAGGTCCTGCACCTGGGTTGGGGTAACCCCAAGTATCAATACAGGCTGGGGAATGAAGGGACGGAGAGCAGCCCTGCAGAGAAGGATTTGGGGCTGCTGGTGGATGAAAAACTGGACATGAGCTGACAATGTGAACTTGCAGGCCAGAAAGCCAACTGTATCCTGGGCTGCATAAAGAGCAGCATGGCCAGCAGGTCGAGGGAGGTGATTCTGCCCCTCTGCTCCGCTTTGCTGAGACCCCCCAAAACCCCCCCCCCCGCCCAGTACTGCCTGCAGCTGTGGGGTCCTCAGTAAAAGAAAGACATGGACCTGTTGGAGTGGGTCCAGAGGAGGGCTACGAAAGGGATCAAAGGGATGGAGCACCTCTCTTATGAGGGCAGACTGAGAGAGTTGGGGTTGTTTAGCCTGGAGAAGAAAAGGGTCTGGGGAAACCTTATTGTGGCCTTTCAATGCTTAAAGGAACAATGAGGACAGACTTTTTAGTAGGGTCTGTAGCGACAGGACAAGGGATGATGATTTTAAGCTAAAGGAAGGTACATTCAGACTGGATATAAGGAAGAAATTTTTTACAATGAGGATGGTGAAACACTGGAACAGGTTGCCTGGAGAGGGTGTGGATGCCCATACCTGGAAACATGTTGGACAAGGCTCTTAGCAACTTGATCTAGTTGAAAATGTCCCTGCTCATTGAAGGGGTTTTGGCCTAGGTGACCTTTAAAGGTTCCTTCCAACCCAAACCATTCTATGATTCTATGAAGTTTTCCCACTTCTAAACATGGTGGGAATAAAAGAATAATTGCTGTACATGCTGTATATGTATTCTTTTATCATATTCTGATTATGTGAGTAAAATTTATACTTCATTATTTTACACAGCATGCATTGGTTCTAATACTACTAAAATATTAAAATGCTTAAATTTAAACAAAACAAACACTTCAAGACAAATAATATGTGTATAATATGTCAGTAAACATTTGCTTTCCTTTGCAGTTATCTGTGGCATATTCCTCTCACCTACGTAACTAGTAGCTGCAACTTCACCCATTGTACTAATGCATATTTACTGGATCAGAAGTCAGGTATGTGACTCAAAACTGCAGTAGCAAGTTGCACAAGTGTTACAGATTACTGATCTTTCTGAGCACACACTTGCATAAGATGTGAAGATGGAGGCATTTGTAGTACAAAAAAATTACAGAGATCTGGAGCCAAGCACTACTGGTGGTGTCATCATTAGAGAGTTGGTTCTCTACAGCATTGTATGTACAAATAAATGGCAGAAGCACAGGCTTGGAATTTGTAAAAGCCTGTACTCTTTTCATCCCAGTGTATGCACAAAATCTCTCAAACTACATGTCCTTTAGAGAGTGAGTAATGGGAGAGTTGCTCTGCCAGTGTACTGCAATGTGAGGAAGTCACTTTCCACTGAAATATTATTAATTTTCTTTACTGGTATAAGAAAATAGTGCATCAGGAACAGATTAAGTTTTTGAGAATGCTGTTGTAGAACTTGAAACCCTTAGATCTTTTCACATAAACTGTCTGCTTTTGCTGCAATGGCTAGTTTGAATCCTAAATTGCTAGTCAATGGGGTTTTTTTCCTTACCAACTGAGTAGTTACTATACACTTTTATGCAGTGTTGTGCTAAAATCATTTTGGCTATCTCTCTCCACTGACATGAATAGTTTTTTGAAGCTGGTCTGACTCAGTCTTACATCTACCAATGTATTTTCTTCTCTCCCGTTAAAGTTACTACACACTGCATTTAACTGGCAATTATTTTTAAATCATAAACCTATCTCATACCTCTACTTTTTTAAATAAAACTATATAAATTGAAAGTCAAATTCTTAGAGCTGATCTTGACATTTTTAATCTTTATTGATTTTTACAAACTGCCACCCTTCTAAAATGACTTTAGAAGTACTACAATTAAAGTAAATTATTTTGGTTTGTGTCATTCTGACATCAGTTTTACAAAGTCTTCAAGTTATTCCTGGCCTTTTTCATTTGAGATGGAGTTTTAGTAAAAAATGTTATGAATTATCAGAATGGAAAAACAAAGCTGTTTAATTGAATGTGTTCGTGATCTTACTAGAACTAATAGGTAAGTAGCCTGATTTCATCATTTTTGTTTCACCTTAAATGGCCCTGTTGGTGGTCTCATGTTCATCGTACTAATTCCTTACTCACTGTGGCAACTTAGATGTGGAGGATATGAGAGTAGGGGAGATGCACAAAAGAGTTTGGGGTAGAATATTTACTGAATTTCAAAGTCATTGTTGGTGCTATGCAAATTGATGTTTTTGGCGGTAGGCATAGAATCAACTGAAATGAAGAACTTTTTCTCAAAGCCTCTCTTCTTGTATCTAGTTGACTTTGAAACTAGAGTGTGGCTTTTCATCTACTTAATGCCGTCTCCGTTTCTCTATTTCTTTGTATGATGTGTGTAACTGCTTTTTATATATATATGAAAGTGGGCAGAGAGGAGACGGGGTTGTTTGAAAGGAGGACTGGGCAGAAGGAGAAAAATTCCTGCACTAAATACTCAAGTGCATAGATACAGCTCAGGGCAGATTGTGGTACTGTTCAATCAGATGTAGGAAGAAGGAGGAAGCAGTACAACCTGGCATTCTGGAGCCTTCTTGTGGAACCTTTGTACTGGCTATTTCTTCATAGTAGGGGGAACTAGTGGGTGGAAAAGGATTTCTTGACTATCCAGAACCAGTTTACTTCATTGATTTGGATTTTAATAAACAGTTGCTAAATGTTTGTTTCTGCTACTAACTGATTGTCTGTGCACTAGCTGTCATTGAACTTCCAGAAGAGGTGGAATGGATAAAATTCAATGTGGACATGAATGGCTATTACATAGTACACTATGCTGAAGACTGGAAAACACTGATTGATCTGTTGAAAAAAAAACACACTGCTTTGAGTCCTAAAGACAGAGCCAATTTGATCAACAATATCTTCAACCTTGCAGGGTAAGACTTTTGTATTGGAAAACATAGTTAATATATGTTTGAAGTTTTTTCAAGTCAAAGAAGATCAGACTTAGATTTTAGAGAAGACTGTTTCAGAGAAGTTTTAATTCAGTTTTTTATTAGCCTGTTGAAATGGTTCACGATTCACTGATTTTTTTTTTTTAAGTTACTCCACTGATGTTTCCATATTGGTGTTAAATGTTACCTCCTTATTGTTTATAGCAGCATCCATTTATTTGCATCACAAAGAGTCACATGATAGCTTCCATTTCTGGAAGACACTGTTTTCTTTAATGTCTGCCTAGCTTACTGTTTTCCTGTACTCTGTCAATGAGGGCTCCAATTTGAGAGGCAAATAGCTTACTTCTCTGAATTTTCATTAGCTCCTTCTCTTGTCTTTCACCACTGCCATCAGAGCAGGTGAAGCTGAAGGTTCTGGATGGCCTCTTTGACAGCTGCTTCCTGTATTTGTGTACCCTCTTTTATGATAAATATTTTCAGACATCGTTGTCTCACTTCCTTATCTATTTTCATTTTTATTAATTGAAGGCATCTTAGTGGCCATTGTTGCTTTTGTGAGAAACATTCACCTATATAGTTTTTAAGAGAGGACAAAGTCTGTGGAGCAAAGTTTTATTTCAGTGCTGGGTGCATGGGAGATCACCTCCGTGATTCTCCTGCATGCACACTGATTGGTCTCACTTCCACATATTTATTTAGGACAGTCATTCATATTCATGACATTTCTCAGAAGTCTTATATCTTAAATCTTATTCAGATTATTTCCTCCAAGTTATTTACATCTATACCCTCCCACTTGCATCTGCACATTGTTCTCTAGGGGTCTTCTTTGAGGGTTGTGGGGTGAAGGCTCAAAGTCTTCCTCTCGGTTGAACTCCTTATTCCGGCACCTGCGCTCTATTGTTTCAGTTATATTGCAAACCCAAATTGACAGTTAATCCTCTCTTTCTGCCATATAAGGGCAGGAAGGTGACATCCAGGTAGAGGCTAATCACAGCTAAGATAAGTGATGTCAGCCAAAGCAACTTAACCCTATACCCTAATACACATTACCCTGTCTCCAGCCCCATACTTGGGTACCTGGAAACTTACATTCTTTCCAACCGCTTATCTGCTATGGCTTAAGCAAAACCACAACACCACTTCTCACACTTTGTTGCTATCTCACTAATATAATTTTAAAATCTCTACATCTGAAGTGTTTCTTATGTTACTCCCTCTATTCACCTATCCCTCTGTTAGTGTAACGGAGAGCATCACTTCTGATCTTGTTTCAGAGAGTGCTTTTGTTTTGGGAGCCGTTTTAATGTTTGTATTCATTGACCTATAGTCTAGGAAAAGAGCCTCTGGAAAACGCCTTTGAGCTGATTGATTATCTCAACAAAGAGAGCAGCACTGCACCGCTCACTCAAGCTTTGTTTCAGCTGAATTTTATATACAGCCTCTTAGAGAAAAAGGGAGAACAACAACTGGCATCACGAGTCATGGTATGTCTTAGTTTTCTGTAAATTATAATTTGAAATAATTAGCTGTAATGTTCTTTATATTTACATTATCTTTTTATGTGTTGCCTGTTGAATGTATTCAGTAATCTCACTAAGTTGGATGGGGATTCTAGATCCCTGCTAGTCTTGCCTGCTTTTGTTATGTAGTAATGGTCTCTTACTGAAATGCTAAATATTTTGGATTGACTCCCTCTCCTCCCTCCCTCAACGTTTTTTAGGGAGTTTAGTACAATGGGAACACAATGGTGTCTGGGGATTTGCTATAGTGGCTGTAAAGGTCAATGTAGTACAGATATGTAATTAAACAGAGTCCATGACATTTTCTACTACAGGAAAGTTTTCTCCAAAATTATTAGAGTGGCTGGGGATCATAGATCTAATTCTGTATAGAGGCAGAGGGAAAAAACAAAACTATTTTCTGTAAAAATAGAAACACATGAATGGTTGTCATTGTTCCATTCCAGCTGTGCAATAGATTAACACGATACAGTGCTACAGATTTACCAATGAAATCAACATCATAGCCTCACTTCTTGCTGATACGTCTTCCATTTCTTTGTTTACCTTCTTACTATGAAGCCTTCTCTCTGTATTCATCTACAGATTTAAAGTGATCCTTGCTGCTTTACATTGTTGAATGTCAGCAAAGGGATTTAGTCTAGAATGAAAGTTATTAAATGATTAGATAAAATAGCAGATGTTTTTCTTTTACTAGGTAAGAGTGATTAGTGAGTGCTTAAGGAAACACAAGAAACAAAAACCCACTATCATTTTCCTTATTTAGTATTTATTAAAAGATTTTACAGATCTGCTGTGATAAACAGCCCAAGCTATGGTTTGCAATGCGGTGTCTATGAGGTTATATTTAAGTTCAAGTGTTTCAGCTGAGATATGGTAGCTGGTTAGGCAGCTAGCTGTGGTTTTGGCAAGCTACAAAACTACAAACATGAAGGGTGTTCACTCTGTAGATAAAGGTTGATTTGTGTGTTTGCGCTAAACTAAGGTGCATTAACTGTCACTTGGTGGAGTTAAAAGCAGTTAAACATACAGAAGTTGTACATATTAAGCTGACTACATACAGGTTTGAACTGCAGCTTGAAGAGTAGCCTTCAGTTTCCATGTGCAATTTAAGATGTAGATCTGGCCATCTTTCAGATGTATTTATTCATACAGTTAAGAAATTATATGTGTAAATTGGAATAGGTAGATGAAAAACTATGTTTAACTTCCACACTTCTAAAACTTAACTTTTTTCTTTTCTTTAAATTAATTTTGTATATAGAAAATGCTATTGGGAAGAATTAGCTATTGCTAATAATTTTTCCTCCTTTAGCATAGAATAGAGCACTTGCTTGGAGATAAAATTGATCAACAGCATTGGACAGATGATGGGACCCTGTCTGAACGAGAGCTCCGGTCAACACTGCTAGCTTTTGCCTGCACCCATGACATGAGAAACTGTAGAAAAACTGCCAGTGAGATGTTTGAGAAGTGGATGAAGTCTAATGGAACAATGAGGTATCACAAAAGCTGGCCTTCCACTTCTTTTATCTACCTGTTTTCCTGTTACCTTGCCACCATCGTTTAGGGGGAAAAAACCCAACAAACAAACGAATTAAACAAAAAAAAAAACCCCTCCACAGCGCCACCACCAACTGAATATTGATAAAGCACTTCATTCTGTCTTTTACTGTTTCTCATGTAGAAGTAATTGCTATTTCAAGATGAGAGGGAGAACTGTGCTAGAATTTAAGACCTTGTATGCAGTCTCGTTCAGTGTGACTGCAAAACTAGCCACAGACTGCTTCCATCTGGATTTCCTTAGCTGCATGCTCAGGGAGAATTACCTAGTAGCAACATCAAAGCATACATTTTTATCTTTCAGAATTCATTCTGCTCTGGATTCATATGCATTTTGAGCCACAGAAAATTACTCAGATTTTTGTACAATTTACTGTGCTTTCATATGACTAACATGATTTGCGTTTTCCCAGTGACTTAGTGTATTAGACTGGCATGAATTCAGTCCAGCAAACATACAATTGATACAGAATTAAATTGCTCAAGAGAGGCATCTTGTTCAAGCTAATCTTTTCATTTTGTGACTTTTCTTCCTTCTTTTCTCAGATGAGCATTTTTATGTCCCCTTTTTGTTTGTTGGTTTGATTTTTTTGTTGTTTTGTTTTGTTGTTGGTTTTGTTTTTCCCTATAGTCTGCCTAGTGATGTTATGAAAGCCATATTTACAGCTGGAGCTAAATCTAGTGAAGGCTGGGAATTCCTCCTAAAGATGTACTCCTCTTCAGTTTCTGAAGCAGAGAAAAGCAAAATGATTGAAGCCTTGGCCAGCACAGAAGATGTCAGAAAGCTGATCTGGTATGAAGGAGCCAAGAAGTTGTATACTGTGTAAATTAAAAGTGTTAAAATCTTCTTTGAAAAAATGTATTGAAAGAAAATTTGATCACTAAAGAAGATCTATCCACATGTTTTGTACAGACTTCTGTAAACATGAAGAACCTTATATTTTTTTACTTAAAAATAATTTATGTAACAGTGTAGTTTAAAAGGCCAAATTCTTAATGCACATAAACAGAAAACTATTGAACCTTTGCACTACCGGTAACACAAAATTCAGGATTTTGTGGTAAAGGTAACAAAATTGCAAGTTGTTCTATGGAGTCTTAAAAGATTGGTATGTCTTTATAACCAAGATAATAACTAGTTGGAGTTTTTTGGTTTTGTTTTGGTGTTTGGTTTGTTTGGTTTTTTTTTTTTTTCCTTTCTTTGGGTGGAATTTTGACCTTACATGATGCTGCCAACACCTCTTTATAGACCAAATCTCAGTACTGTATGGAGGACAGCAAGGATGTCCTGCTAGGTGTTTCTTGTTACAGATTTCCTCTCTTAACTTATCCACGTATTATGTTTCCTATTACAAGTTAGAATTTACTTCATCTTTTCCAGCAACAATTATAAAATGGAGCATCAGTATGTTCCAGGTGCCAGAAATTGCTTATTGTTTGTTTTGTGTTATAATCTTTTCCATCTAATTCAGGAGTATCAGGAGAATCATATGAAGATATGAATACATGTTTTTTCCTGTCCCTTTTCATATGATTTGTGTTTTAGGTTAATGCAGAACAGCCTTGAAGGAGAAATCATCAGGGCACAGGAGCTTTCACATATCATAGCAACTGTTAGCCAGAGTTTGCCTGGATATTTGTTGGCCTGGGACTTTGTCAAAGAGAACTGGGAAAAGCTTACACGAAAGTAAGGCTTTTGATGTAGCTGAAATGTCACACTCACAGTGGCAAAAGCACCAGTTTGTTTTTATCAAGCACAAGATAATAAATAGTTGTATTCATATAAGAAAATTGTAAAGCCTGTTTTAAAATTTGATTTTACAAAAATAACTTGGAAATAGACTTTGAAGTCTCACCAATACTTGATGGGACTTTGGACCCTCCTAGAGCCTCATAGTAATTCTAAAAAAACCTTGATTTGAATTTTTGTTTCAAATCCTGTCTCTAATGGTTACTGCAGATGCAGGACATTTATGTGAATCAAATGCATTCAAAAGGAGACCCAGGGTATTCATTCAGCATTTATTTTTTATGCCTTTTTACAGCAATCCCAAACCCAAATAACCAAAAAATCCTACTTGCTTTAGAAATACATGTTCTCTTTAACTGGGTTAAAGGGTACCCAGCAGGAGACCTGACCTGCAAGTCTTCAAAAAGGTAACAGTATGTGGAAAACTGGATTTCCAAGTCCTAGTTTTGACTTGGGTGCTAAAAAAGCTTCTGGATGAAAATTTCTGCTCTAGCAAGACCTTAATAACCAATATTACAAAATTACTTCGCTTGAAATGAAATCTGGTTGCAAATTCAGTTATTGTAGAGTTTGGAATGCATACCACAAATACAGGTCTTGGTATTCAGTGTGTGATGTTCTCACTTCTTTACTATGTGAGCTGTGATAGAAGTTGAAAAATATTCCATGTCTGCTCCAAAGTTCAATTTTTAGAGGGATCAGGGAACTAGAGGCATGGACTTCTAAGACCTCGTATCTCTTTTGAAAAATGAGATATGTAAGCTTGAATTTGAGTGCTTTTAATGATTTCCAACTACTAAACAAAAAAAACAGAAGTAAGAATGTGTACATATACTGAACCTGCATCTTAAAGTGGCTCCTAGTTAAAAATAACTTTTTTGTTTGTATTTCAGGTTTCACCTAGGCTCATATACTATCCAGAATATCATTAGTTGGTCAACTTCTCAGTTTGCAACAAAGGCGCATCTGCTTGAGGTCGGTGGCTTAATTCACCAGAAAGGGATATTTTCTAGTGCCAATGCTGTTTTAATTTAATTGAAGGATGAGGAAAACACATGTTATTTCTGTCCTTGAGGCCCTTTTGCAAGGATATACATCTATTGCTTTCCCTATTTCACACATGGCAAATGTATACATAAACATGTTGAAGATTACAGACTGAGTCTGTGGCAGGGTTGCATATAGAGTTGAACCCAGTTATCTGTTCATAGTGGTTTGTTTTCCTGTTCACTGGAACATACTGTCTCCCAAAATAATGATTTGATCTAGATAGAATTTTGGTCTAGACTTTGTAAACAAGCTATGCTTTCTATATCTCTGGAGTGTCACAGAGTGCCATAAAAATTGCTTTATGCTATTTCTACTGTCAACAATCCCAAGAAGCTATTGTAGAGGTTGAGTATCAGTTAATAGCCAGTTAATAGCCATTAGAAATCTCTGTTGTCTTCCTTAACAAGGTCTTGAAGTTAATGTGTCAAGAATGGTTTATGGTTTAGTCTAAAGTTTTCATTCAGATAATTTGGTAGAGATAGTTGTTTACAGTTTCATCTATAGTATTTTAAATGTTAGCATTGACAATTGTAATGATGAGTGGGCGTGGGGGTCATTCCAGAGCACTGAAGAGACATCTTTTCCAGAACTTTGAGTGCTCTGTGATGAATATGATAAGTGAATGTCTGTTTATTGGTGAAATAATTTATTGAAACCAAATGAGTTACTGCTGCAGTTCCCATGAAAAATGCTTTCACTGTATTTTGGGAACTCCTCTGAGAGGTGTGTTTACTGCATAGATACACATGATTCTCAGGAATGGATTTCCTGCAACATTTTTGTAGCCTTTGCTTCTGAACATATTTGTGTGGCCAGTGTTGGTTTGAATTAAAATTTTCTTTTTGTTTCTTTTCTCTTTCTATGCAGGTCAAGTCATTCTTTGAGTCAAAATCAGAGGAGAGTTCTCAACTGCGTTGTGTAAAAGAGGCAATTGACACAATTCAGCTCAATATCCAGTGGATGGAGAGGAACTTAGCAAAGCTACAAAAACTGCTGTAGTGCACTTAATGCTGTGGTGTGTCGGTCATTTAGGAGCTCTGTGGGCAGTTGCTGTGTTTCTTCTGCAAAAGCCAGGTTGAAACCAAGCATCACTGCAACATTATTTGCACTATTAAGGAGTCTAGATCGCTCAGGGGATATCTCAGATAAATTTTTATTTTCCTTGGAGCATTTATGAGCAAGATTGAAGTATTTATTCTGAAACTGTTTTAGTCTATAGACAAAACATCTGCACAAATGATTAAATATAATTTTATATTTGAAACATATGCCCTTTCATTTGCAGTTGTGTTGTAGTTTCTTAGCAGTGGGTTAATATTGACAGTTAGGGTCAGAAAGAAAGAAAGAAAGAGTTACCATGAGCTGTTCCTTCTTTGCAAACTGCTCGTTGAACAGTAGATTTTTTTTTTAATGCAAAATTATAGCTGGTTTCCACATTTGTAGATGTAGAAGCTGTTGTGAAACAAAATCATACTTCAGATATATAAGTAGTAGGTGGATCTTATAAAGAACACCAGTTTGAGGTGAAATAAATAAGGTTCAAATTTTATTTAAGTTTGGATTTTTTAATTTCACAGTATTCTTTAGGAATTACACAAAAAAATAAGAATAATATGTCATGCTGATAGTATACACTTTGATGTGTAAAGTGGCTGGGTAGTAGTATGGAAAAGAAAAACCAAACAGCAAAACCAAGTGTTTTAGAGATGGGATTTCCAGAACCACTGTTGTGACCTTGGAACTTTCACTCTGAATTTATTAGACATTTTTGAGAATCTAATCATTTATCATTGCCTTTAATTGATTTTGCTATATTGATCTCTGAGCAACTGCACAAAATTTCATTTTTCCAGGTTGGTTCATCTGTTAGACTGACTACTGATCTGTGCCCTTTTGACTACTGATTTTTAATTTCACCACTTGTTGCAGAGGGTCTGCAATTAATGGATATGTCAGGCACTTTGGGTAAACTTCTGGTTTTTCCTTGCTTGATAACTCACATATCACAGTATAATTTGTGAACACTGCTCACTCTTGATGACATTAGCTTTAGCAAAGCTTCTAATTCAGATTTTAATGATTTGCTCTTCCTCTGTTGTGAAAAATGTTGCAAGATAAACACTCAAAGGTTTTTAAAGAATAGGATGTACAACCCTAGTGCGCTACATTAGAAAGGCGAAATACCTATGTGCAGTCTGCATCTCTTTCAAAAGTAGTGAAAAAGGCCATTTTTGAGGTATAATATATATATACAGCACATACAAGAGTAAGCATACCTTTTCATCTGGAGATCTATTCTATTAATTTCACTACCAAAGCACCTTTTGTGGATTCATGCAATTGGATTCAGACCTGTTGTCATCATCCAATTATGTGATCAATTACAAACTATGTTGAAAGCACTAACAATTAAAAGTTGTACTATTTTAATTAAACTAATTTAATTTCAGCTGCAGTAAATTCTGAAGAAGATAGTAGTTGGAATTAGAGTTAAATTAATGGACTTAATTTGTCACAGGGTAATTCAAATTGAATGCTTTAATTTATGAAACTGCAGCATTGGCTGTTTATTTGATTAGCAAAAATTGTAAGCTATGATTGTTTAAGTCATACCATACTTTTCCCATCTTTTCAGAATATCTGTGAAAAATCCTGGAAAGAAATTCCTCATTTTCCAGCTCACATTAGAGTTGCAGATGTCATTTTTAACCTTGAAATTAACAGAAAGAG